GATAAATGCTAAGAATATTTCCTAACCCTAACCCTGAAATCTGTGAAGCTTAAATTTTATAAATGATGTCTTTAAACGTAAAAGCAAATATGTTTTTACTAAAAGCTCAAGGAAGAAATAATAAATTTATGAGACTCTCAGAAGCTGCGTTTCTTATTTAATTACATTATTTAAGCCTGTGTAGTTTGCCTCATATCATGACATGTTTTCCATGTGTAGCCATTGTTTCGAATGCTTGTGTGTCTTGATTGGTAGTTGCCATAAGATACAATTTCAATTAACCGTGTCCCTGGAAAAAATAAAATACTCAGAAAGTGGAGGTGTTTAAACTAATTCTAGATGTGTCTGAATGCTTTCACTAGCAAAGCATACCCACTAGTAAAATGTCACATTGCAAGCAAGAAGAATGGTGAAGATTAACTGTGACACTGTCATTCCTCCAGTAATCAAGGAAAGTAATTCTTTTAGGACCAAACTCCTAAAACATCCCAGATGCAGAAAAATAAGAAACATTTGTCCAGGCTCATGCCTCTAATCCTAGCACTTTGGAGGCAAAGGCTTAGGATTTAGGATGGTGTGGGTTCAAAGCCAGCCTCTGCTAAACAGTAAGTTCTGGGACCACCGGAGCTACAGAGTGAGATCCTGCCTCCTCCCCTCCCCCAGACTCAAAACTATCCAATAACAATAGAATATGTTTAGCTAATATTAATATATCAAGGTCTGTGATGACTGATTTTAGTTGTCAATTTGATTAATATATCTGTGAGGATGTTTCCAAAGAGGTTCTTTGTTTGGTTTTGGGTTTTTTTGAGACAGGATTTCTCTGTATAGCCCAAGGTGGCCTGGAACTTGCTTTGTAGACCAGGCTGGCAATGAACTCACAGAGATCCACCTGCTTCTTCCTCCTGAATACTGGGATTAAAGATGTGCACTACCATGCTGAGCTTTCCCAAAGAGGTTTGACTGGGGGGAAGGCCTGGGCTGAATTTAGGAGGCACCATGTGCATGAACTGGGGACTCAGATTGAATAAAAAAGAGAAGAGACAAAAGCACCGGCTTTTCCCTCCCTCTGCTTCCTGGTTTGAACCAGGTCTGCCATGTCCTTCCCACCATGTAATCCTCCCAACTTCGGGCCAAGAGAAACTTTTCCTCTCAAGTGTCTCAAGCATTTATTCACAGCAACAGGAAAAGTTGTGACATGGGCTCACTGAAATGACAAATGTAGCGAGAACACTTATTACATAAAAGAACAATTTCATTTGATGAAACATGGTGGGAATTTCTGGACTTCTTGGGGAAATTAATACAAAAGAGTCCTTCCATAGTTTAACAAGAGTAGAAAACTACTACCTTGAAGAAACCTAGCAATTAAGATGAATAAATATGGGAGAAAGGCATAGGTGTGCCATAAGGAGTAGTCCCCCATCTTCAGAATGCAAGTTAAGAACACCCCACCAATAAAAAGAATAGAGAAACTCAGAATCCTGGCTGAAAACGCACCCCTGGGAAGTCTCCACTGTGAACCCTGAGCATCTGCATTGAGTTGTCTTAAGTAGGCCCATGGATCTTAGGGAAACCTAGAGCCAGAGAATCTTCTAAACCCTTGTGACAATCAACATAACCATCACCACTCCACCAGTATACTCAAAGCATTACATGGTTTCCAAACTCAAATGGTTCATTTGGGTTAGCATCTGGTACCGTTTGGATACAGTTTGCATGAGTCCCCCAGAGGTGCCTGTGCTGGAAGCTTGGTCCCCAGTGTGTCATTTCTTGGGTGTGGAACCTTTAAGAAGTGGAAGCATGGGCTGGAGAGATAGCTCAATGCTTACAAGCACTTGGTGCTCTAACAAAGGACCTGGGTTTGATTTGCAGCACCACATACTGGCTCACAACCATCTGTAACTCCAATTTAGGGTCTCCGATGCACTCTGCTGGCCTCCACAGGCATCAGGTGTGTGTCTGTGCGGGAGCTGTGTGTTGTGTGTGTGTGGGGGTGGGGTGGGGTGGGTTATGCTTAGGCTTGTTCTCAACTAGCTCTTATAACTTCAATTAACCCATTTATATTAATCTACATACTATCATGTATCCCATATCTCCAACTTGTTCTGAGTCAACTGACAAAATCCATGCACCTAGATTCCTCCTCCTCTTCTCTCTCACCAGAAATCTTGCCTAACTATTGGCTATTCGGCTCTTTATTATACAAATCACAGCAACACATCTTCACATAGTATACAAATATTTCACAACAGAAAGTTGCTTTTTTTTTTTTTTTCTGTTTTTCAAGACAGGGTTTCTCTGTATTGTTTTGGAGATTGTCCTGGAACTAGCTCTTGTAAACCAGGCTGGTCTGGAACTCACAGAGATCTGAGTGCCTCTGCCTCCCAAGTGCTGGGATTAAAGGCGTGCACCACCAACGCCCGGCTAAGTTACTTGATTTTTAAGATAAAGCTAGCCTTGAACTCACTGTGTAGCGAGGCTAACCTTAACTCCTGTTGCTTAGCTTAGGTTATAGTTATATACCACCAAACCCAGCTTGCCATCATTTTGTTGACTTTTGGGGGAGGAGGGGTGTTTCCGCGGCAGGGTTTCTCTGTGGCTTTGGAGGCTGTTCTGGAACTAGCTCTTGTAGACCAGGCTGGTCTGGAACTCAGAGATCCGAGTGCCTCTGCCTCCCAAGTGCTGGGATTAAAGGCGTACACCACAACGCCTGGCTAAGTTACTTGTTTTTTAAGATAAAGCTAGCCTTGAACTCACTGTGTAGCGAGGCTAACAGAGATTGCCTGCCTCTGCTACCACCGCCTGGCTCTGTTGACTTCTTTGTTTAGATAAAATATCATAGGCATTTTTGTTTTGCTTTGTAGATCACCTGCTATGCTATTTGTCCATTTTTCTCCCTTAACTTGCAGTGACTTTCTGTCATTCCCTTTTCAATGATTTCATGGTGGAAAAAGGTCCCGTTTTAGGACTGGATATAGTAATCTAATGTGTGTTTTACAGTTTGTACGGTTTTGAGTCCTGAGTAAAAAACATCCCTTCCTTGAATTACCAAGGAATGACAATCCTCCAGACATCCTTATGTCCTCCAAGATTAGGCCGCTTGAGACTTTTGATCCTTGAATAGGCAGGATCTACATCCCTGGTCAGCTTTAAGAAGCCTCAGAAAATGGAATTTCTGCCATCATTGAGGTATTAAAGTCCCAGAGGCAGAAATTAAAAGTTGAAGTGAAAGGCAGGAGAACTAAGAGGTCTTGGCATTGGTAAGGAACTCCTCACCTCTGTTATCTGGAAATCAAGGAAATCCCAGAAATAGGATTACCAATTTGTTTGTCATCAAACATGCTTTGCCTTTCCCTTGGCTCAGTGGCAAGACTTCCTTAAGCTTTTGACCTTCACCTTCATCTACTCAGCCTATTAGCCTCCACCACATGCCTCATACACCACTTTGTGATCTCGTTTCCTAATGAGATGCTCTTTAGAAAAAAGAAGCATACCAAAGCCTTTCCGCTTAAGCTTTTAAACTTTTGGGGCACTGTAACTCCAAAAGCCACCAACATCTACTATCATCTATTGTTTTGTTTTTCTGCCCAACACAGAGTCTCATGTAGCCATGCTGGGCTGAATGAAACTCACTGTGTAGCTGAAGGTAGCCTTGAACTCTGATCCTCCTGCTTTCTCTATACAGTGCTAAGATTACACATTTTCAACACTACAAAGGATTTCACAAATAGCTTCTGTAAACATATTTAAATGTGACTCTCTTTTGGGAAGTCTTACTCACTGTGTAGTGCTGGCTGGCCTTGAATTTGCAGAGGTTTTCCTGTCTCTGCCTCCCAAGTGCTGAGATTCAAGGCATGTTTCCCCATGCCAGACTTGCTTTGCTTTGTTTGTTTGTTTGTTTGTTTGTTGGTCAACTCTCTTGAAGTCAGGCTAGACTCAAATCAGCCAGACAACCAGTGGAGGATGACATTGAATTCCTGACCGTAAATCTTCTACCTCCCAAGTGCTGGGCAGAGGCTAGCCTCACATATAAAAGGTGTTGTGTTCAATGTCCTAACATTGCCAAAATATCTGAATAAATGTAAGTCGAATTATTCACTTGCAACTCTATTTCTTTCCTCACAATCCCCCAATGACTCTCATTCTTTTCCAGTTTAAATTCCAATTCTTTGCCATTAGTCACAAGACCACGTGTCTGAACAGTTGCCAGCATTTGCTTAAGGTTTTGTAAAGGTCGTATCATAGATCGAGGATGGTGTGTGTGTGTGTGTGTGTGTGTGTGTGTGTGTGTTAATAATTCCTTTTCTCAAAGGAGTGTTTCCTGGCACATATTTTTCAAATATTTAGCACATTATTAAAGTTCTAGTAAAACGAAAATTCTATCGAGTGCTTTTTGTACACTCAAGGCTCTTCCTAGCAGCAATGCTTAAAGTACTTCTAGCCCTCAGTGTCCAAGTCAAACATCCATGTCTCTTCCTTGTCCACTGCCTCCCATTGCATCTACTCAATTCTCAATGCCCGGCAAGATAAATGGTCCACTGTTCCCGTAGCCCTACGTTCATATATTAACAAAGGGAACCCTGGAACTCCTGTCTGTCGTTACTACTGTGAAGATGACGACAAATCCTGACGCATTCTTAATTTCTCGTGGGTTGGGGGGGGGAGGCGAAGGGGCGCAGAGACTGGATCTCAATTAGTACAGGCTGACCTGACACTCTAGCTGAGAATGACCTTGAATTCTTGAGTACAGGCATGCGCCACCACTCCTCTCGCTTTGTTTTTTTTTTTTTCCTTGATCTATAGCAAATGCTCGACACGCTGTCCCTTCTAAGTGTCCACTAAGCTTCAATAAAATTTAAACGATTTTTAAATGGTGGCAACTTCCTCATCTCCAAGTTACATATTTCGTTATACATATGGAACCTTTCCACAAAGTAGCCATTCGCAGCCCATGGAAATAACGGACACTTTCGGAGCGGAGCTACTCTGCTGTCTACCTTCACGCTTGCAGGTGCCAGCCGAGGTACAGGACGCAGACTCCGTCAGTCATGGGACACAGGAGGCGCACGCTCAGGCGGCCCGTGCCTCACCATGCGTGGACTGCAGCGCGCAGGCGCGGGGCGGCTCGCGCAGGCGCCGTGCGCGGTTGTCACTGTGCACGGATCTACCGGGGTTCCGGCATGCCGGGCCGGCTTCTTGTTGCCGCCTCCCGGTTGCCTTCGCACCATGGAATGCCTGCGTTGCCTGCCCAGGCTGCTTCCCCGCGCCGTGCAGTCCCGGCGGGCCCTGTGTGCGGCGCCCCTGAGCCCCGCTGCCTGCTGCGGTCGCGCGACCCCGCTGCTCTCCGGGAGCCGGAACCGAGCTCGCCCTGCGCTGCAGGTACGCACGTCCCGCGGGGCCCCGCGCCCTTGGCCCCGCCGTCCTCGCCGCTGCGCGACCTGCCCGGCTCACCCAAACCGCAGTTCTCAAGCCAGCTCTTCGGGGTCTTGATTGTGGTTTCTAGTTTGCTTGTTGTGAGACAGGGTTTCTGTCGTCCAGGATGGCCGCGAACTGGCAGAAGTCCCCATTCTCAGCCTTCTGAATTCTGCAGTTAGAAGCGTTAACCGTTGTTTTTGTTGTCGTTTTACATTTAGCGTTTCGGTGTTGTCCGAGCATGCGTGTGCCTTTCTCAGTGTGTTTGTTTGTGTGAGGAGGTCAGATGACAGCTTGTCCGAGTTCACTCTCTCCTGGGTCGAACTGAGCTATTAAAAGTTGGCAGCGGGCGTGTTTGCTGGCCGAGCCATCTGCAAAGTAATGGGTTTCAGGACTGTACTTTCATACATATTTTTCTTGACACCCCTCGCCCCCCACGCGCTGGCCTCCATTTGCCCCCTTCTGCTTTCATATCGCAGAATTATATTAGGTTGGGGTTTTAAATTTGCTTGTTTTGAGACAGGGTCTCACTCTAGCCCAGACTGGCTTGGAACTCACCGTGGAGCCCAGACCAAACTCGAAGCTGGGTAGCATGAGCTACCACGATTAGCAAGATTGGGATGTTATTCTGTTTATTTTGTTAATTTCTCTTCTGGGCACATGTATTCAATTATACAGCTGCCCTGGTATAGAATAGGGAATTTCTGAAAGTGAGATCGAAGAATCTGAAGCCAGTGGTGAGCGTTAACCCTTGATGAAGTCTGCTCTTAAACAGTGTGTAAGCCAGGGAGCTCTGAGTGAAGAAACAGGAGTCTTTTTGCTGCTGGTGCTTTTGTCACCCAACGGGGAAGTGTGAAGAAAGTGTTTCCACAAAGAGTGCCGACTCTGCTCAGAAATAAAGTCCTAACAGCAGTACCTTCGGGTACTTTTTAAAATTGTGCTTAAAAGTTTCCCGAAATGAGATGCGGTCAGTGGACACCTCTTTTCCCCACACTCACCCTTTTTATTATGTGCCTTTCCCTCCCTAGATAATGCTTGGGAACCAAGTGTTCTGCAAGATGCAGGGGCTTATAGGGTAAACATTGAAATCCAGAGTAGTAATTCTGGTGACACTTTAAAGGCTGACACTTGTTCAGTCCCTAGAGCTTACAAGGTGGAAGGAGAAAATAGACATCTGCAATGTGACTTCTGACTTCCACAGTGCACACACACACACACACACACACACACACACACCCAATAACCGAATGTAAATTTTATTTATATATTTACTTACTTTTGTGCAGTGCTTGGGATAAAACCCAGGGCTTGGTTCGTGTTAGACAGGCACTGAGATTGCCTCAGTGACCTTCCCATCCATGGAGGACAGGCCTCAGATATTCAACAAGTTGTATGAATTCAGTACATGGAAGCAATGGGAAGGAATTGGGGCAGATTAGTTAGGGGAGAACAGCTAGAATCCTGACATAACAAGTGTTTCTTTTTCTGGTAGGAAAAAGTTTCAAAATTCAAGGTATTCTGAGGGTTCCCTATACTGTGAGAATTGCAATTGAGCTTCCAGGAAAACCAGTCATGCCCATGGAACATTCATTCTCTAATTTTTTCTCTTAGGTAATGTTCACCGGTCTAGAACCTCCGATGCCTCTCAAGCTACTTTAGCCAGCGTGGCCCAGGTGTTTGCTGTGGTGAGTGCTCCTCATCCAGTAGCCTGCAAGAAGTACTTCCCATGCTTGTTAAGTTCACAGGGTTTGATTGTTGGTATTGGGGCTGGATTTGGCCTGTGCCCCTAATGCCTGGGATTGGTTTAGTGGTACTCTTGAAGCTTTACTAATGATTGGGTTTTTGCTGTTGAGACAGGCTGCTCAAATTGCAGCTCAAAGTTTTCTCTTTTCCAGTAGAATGGAAAGTTAGAGTACATGTTTAGGGTTCCTACCAGCAGCTAAAGTTTTCTTTTTTGAAACATGTCTCATGTAACTTAGAATGACTTCAAATTGATCTTGAACTGGTCCTAGGTATGCTCCTCCAGGCTAAGTTTTAATGTGCCACCACACCTACTTTATGTGATCCTAGGACTTGAACCCACGACTTTTTGTATGCTAGGCAAGCCCTCTACCAATTGAACTACATCCCCAGCCCCGAAGTTTCCTTTTTGAACACTCCAGATTTTCTGAGTTTGTTTAGAATGCTTTGGAAGCTAGTAATGAAGATGCTAGAAAGGCAACAGAGTGCAGTATTTGAGTGCATGACTGAAGGGTGAGTGTGATCTCAACCCTGAGGAACTAGGTGAATTAATGATACATCTGTCTCTGTGTGTGTATTTAAGAAATAAGTTCTTTGGTGGCAGAAAGTAAGCTAAGTAAAATTACATTGTTTTTGCAGCTCATTTTGTAAGATTTCATGGTTTCTAAAAAAGTTGTAAGAGTAAGTGCTTGACCTGAGCCAGATTTCCTGAATTTAAACCTCAGTGTACTCTCTTGCTTTTGGAGGACTTGGACAAGTTATTGTGACATCTTGTACCTTGGTTTTCTCATGAATAACTAGGAATAAACTGCCTTAGGTAATGGTGAGGATAGACAGAAGCTGAGATAACATCATTGCATTTTAATTTGCTCATTTCTGAACTAGAAATAGACATGCTTTAGGGGCTGGAGAGAAAGCCAAGCACCCTCTGCTGTTCCAGGGAACCTGAATCTCACTCTCAGCACCCAAAGTGGGCGCCTCACAACCACATTAGCCACAGCCCCAGGGGTCCAACACCTCCTGGACTCCAGGTGCATTCACAAACATACACAGACACATTCATAAAAAGAAAAAATTAAAGCACCTACTTTAAAATTAAAGCACTTTACTTTTACTTTATAAAAACTACCTTAAAAATGAAAGTAACTCACCAAATCCTGAAAACAGAGTCTCAGACATAATAACCATCCAGCATGTGTTATTCTTTAAAAATATTTGGGTTTAAAAAACCCAAATTCCTTAAAGAACTTTAAGACAGGGTCTCAGTGTGTAAGCTTCACTGGCTGACCTGTAGTACTCTGGATCAGCCTCTGCCTCCCAGATTCTGGGACTGAAGGTTTGTACCACCATGCCCAGCTAAAGTATTTGTTAGGTTTTTTTCTTTTATTTTAAGACAAGTTTTGCTGTGTAAAACAGGCTGGCCTGGAACTCAAGATATCTGCCTGCTTCAGCCTCCCCAGCGCTGGGATTAAAGGTGTGTATCACCACCACCACCACCTGGCTAAAACAACTTTTCTTTATGGACAATATAAGATAAGATACATCTCAGAATTGCTTGTTTCTTTTTTGTTGTTTTGTGTTTGTTTTATTTTGTTTTGCTTTGCTTTTTTGAGAGTCTTACTCTAATAAAACTCACTGGTTAGCCCAAGATAGTCTCATGCTAATGACAGTCTTCCTGCTTCAGCATCCCAAGTGCTGGGATTGCAGTCCTGAGGCAACCATGCCCTTTTCTGCAGAATTACTTGGAAAGTAATTACTCTTGGTCAGTTTTCTGGAGCTGATTAGCTCCACAATAGAATCAATCCTAGTCTGTATAACCCTAGCTAGTCAGAAGGCAGAGGCAAAAGGATTTGAGTTTAAGGCCTGCCTGGACCACACAGTGAGCCACCTCTCCTTCCCCCAAAAAAATAGTCAGATAAGGACTGAAAGGCAACTTAAGTTTCTCCCAAGAACACTTAACAATCAGCTGATTCTGTTGAGAAGGTGAACTGGTTACAAAGTAAACATTTTAAATGTCAGTTTTTTATGCTGTCATTCAAAAAAGGATTCCATTAAAGAAAAATGATACATAAATTTTGAGATGTAAAAATACTTAGTGTTAGTAGAGGTATGTTTTTGTTTTTTGTTTGTTTATTTAAAACAACCTGTAGGTTATTATTGGCATAGTGTTCTCAAAAATTTGTCAAATTGTGGGATTTAAATAGTTTTACAAATTTTCTTATTTTCAGCAGTGAGTATATGCACTTAAGAAATAAATCTAACGAACCTGCATAAGACCAAACTAGACTCCATTAATATAGGTGACAATGGTGTGACTGGGCCAGTATATGAGGCCACTGGCAGTGGGTTCAAGATCTAACACTAATGCACAAACTGACTTAGTGGAGTCCATTCTATATGGACCTTGCCCATGCTAGGCACAGGGTTGTGGGGGCGTGGAGAGGTACCTTGGTCCAGCATCAACTAGATGATGGGATAGACTTAGTAGACTTCCTAGGGGAGGCCTTACCCTGTCTGTGGAGCAGATGGGAGGAAAGGAGGTAGGGGGAACTGGGATTGGAATGTAAAAAATATTTTTTTTTTAAATCTAAGGCAAGCTAGTCTGTATTACACTGATACAAAGCTTTTGTTGAAAATTGACCTTGGCATTTCCTGCTTCTTCTGCCCTCCTGTTGATCAGATCTTTGAGATCTGAGAAGCGGACTGATTGTTATAGGGATTGTTGTGGTTCTGCTAACATAACCAACTCGCTCTGTAGACCAGGCTGGCCTCAAACTCACAGAGATCTGCCTGCCTCTGCCTCCCAAGTGCTGGGACTAAAGGCGTGCGCCACCAACACCCGGCTTTTCTGCATGTTTCTCTTCATTCTGCAGGGCCTGCCAGAGACTCTGAGCACTGAGAAGACATTTAGATTTGTGAAATAGCTAGTCCTTGGTCCCATTCTGCTGAGAAGGATAAAAGGCAACAAGTCAGGGCATGATGTTTCCACTGAATGATGTTCCCAACCCAGGAATTATTGTCAGTCCTTCCCCATCCAGAAAGTTCTTGCAGCCACCCGAGGTTTCCCTAGCCTGCTAACTGATGAATTTGCAGAGGAGAATGTAAGGTCTATGGCTTAAGAGTCCCCCAGGTCTCCTGGCAACACACTTCTAGGGCCCCCACAATGAGCATGGCAAGGCTTAAAGCATGTCCAGCCCAATGTATTCACTCATCAGGACTCCCAAACCAAGGTTACCTGGAGACAGGATTGATTCTCCTGAATGGGTTTCTAGAGGAAGTCAGTCTGACAGGTTTATATTAGTAAAGGAAAGGGGGATTTTTCTTCTTGCTTCTGCTGCCATATTTAACTTAAGGTCAGATATGATTTTTAATTGCATTTCAAAATTTTGAGGCTGTTTCTCAGAACAAATACACTGAATTGAGATTAATATTTGTTTTTATGATCTATCTATAGACAAAGTTTGACAAAGATGGAAATGTTACTTCTTATGGTGAGTATTTCTCAATGAATTAGTGAATTGGTGGAAAATTGGAAATTGTAGTGTTAGAGTACAGTGTTCTTTGTATTTGCTACTGTGTAGAAGGCGGGTCCCTCCTCAGCATTTGCTCATCAGCCCTCGTGGGACTGGCAACCACTGTGTATAGGTCTCTGCATTACTTCCTTTTGGCAGGAGTCACTTGAACTCCCAGGGTGTTTAGAGTAGAGCTGAATGTAGAGGTGCTCTTCCTCTTTCCTGTGTCTCTTCTATCAGTCTCCCTTACACAGCCCTTCAATTTCTAGTCATTATGAAACAGGTTTAAAGTAAAATTACCATTCCATATTGTCATCGTCCATCTGCCCTCCCCCCATTGCAGTGAGAAAGATGGAGGTGTAAGGCACTAGGTGGCAGTCATGTGACAGTCTGCCTCTGGACAGCTACTCCTAATTATGGAGCTAGGTATTGCTTTACTTGAGGCTCCAGTTTCACCTCTCCCCTGCAGCCCAGTGGTCGTGTTCCATCCTTGCTTAGGTCCTCATGTTTGTGCCAGGGTCTGCTTCCTAAGCTTTTGTGCTTACAGTCCTGTTGGAGATGTGGTTTGACACAAATACAGATACTGCTGTTCCCAGCCAATCACAAGTTTCTCTCATCTGCTGTATTCTTAGCTAATAAACTTCGTTTTCAGATAGGAGAATCTACTGTGAATATCTGCTTTTCTTAGTTTTTATTTGTCCAGTAATAAATTACTAAATTCATTCACTCAAAGATTCACAACACTGAATATGATGCTATGGTGGTAAAACTAGAAAATACAGGAACTAGAGAAATGGTTCAGCAACTAAGAGCACTTGTTCTTAGAAAGAACCCAGGTTAAATTCTTAGCAGCTACACGATGGCTCACAACCATCAATAACTCAAGTTCCCAGGGGATCCAGTGCAGCAGTCTGGTCTCCACAGACACCAGGCATGTGATGCATATCTATGTATGTAGACAAAACACTCGCACACATCAATAAACCTAAAAATCCAGTTAATAAAATTCATGTTCAAGAAAAAATGTGACTGTGGACTGGAGATATAGCTCATTTGGTAGAGCTTCCCTAGAATGCTAGAATACCTAGATTTAGTCCCAGCAACAATTGGATTTGGTTCTGCATGCCTATAATCATGTTTGAGGTCTTCTTTGGCTTTGTAAGAAGTTCAAGGCCAGGCTGGGATATATGATATCCTGTCAGAAAGGCAGACTATGTCCAGAGGTAGAAATTGCTGCTGTAGGTTCTTATGCTTGGTTGTGGTTTTTATATTGGTCCCCAATGGGCTGCTGAGCACAGTGAAATGTTCTAGAAAAATATAGAAGTGAAGGAAGAATTTGTGTTAGCCTGAATCTGCTTTTATGGTAAGAATAGGTATTAAAGACTCACATAAACCTTTTTTTGATAATAACAGAAAAGTGCTGGGAGGGACACTATAGGACATTCTATGGGCTATTAGTTGCACTCGGTCTGTTTCTCTTACAGAGAGGAAGAAAACTGAGTTGTACCATGAATTAGCACTCCAGGCCAGAGACTTGAGGTTTCAGCATGTGATGAGCATCACGACCAGGAACAACAGGATTATCATAAGGATGGAGGTAAGGGCTACACTACTGAGTTCACCACTGAGTCCTGGCCAGCTTGCTTAGCGTGTAGGTTAAAAGAATCTTTGCAAAACTGGGGGTAGTGGTGCACACCTTTCATCCCAGCACTCAGAGGCAGAGGCAAGCAGATCTCTGTGAGTGCAAGGCCAGCCTGCTCTACATAACAAGTTCCAGAACAGCCAGGACCTGTCTGAAAGAGAGAGAAAGAAGAGAGAACGATTGGAAGGAATTGGGTTTTTTGTTGCTGAATATAAGAGTTGAACTTGTTCTGAATGGATTGTATATTCCCAACAAGCATAGTGCTGCTCTCTTTTATGTTGGGAAAATTCTGACTGTGATCTTCATTGACCTTTGAATTTAGTCTGTAGTTTCACACAGGGGAAAAAAAATCTATTTATAATGATAGTGCCTTGTGTAGCAAAGGCTACCTTAAACTGGCTATGTAGCTGAAGATGAGGTTGTCCTGGTCATACTGCCTCTGTCTCCCCAGTGCTGGGATTATAAGCACAAGCAACCACACCAGCTGAAAAAGATTTTTTTCCATTGTATCCTGTTAAGTGCAGTTATAGTATAACCTTGGCTACCAAGAAGCATCTGGTTTTCCATGTACACCAGGATTGTCTGTTAAATTTTGAAACCTTAGTTTAAATTTGTATCTAACACTGTCTAAAAATTGTTGTCCTTCACTTGCCTACTCAGAAGATACTGACTGTATTGAATTTCTTTAGTGACTCAGTTAATGTACACATCAGTTGTTTGAACCTGTGAAATCTTATGGACCTAAAATAAATGAGAGGCCCATCAGAGGTGCTGGGCCCTGAAATATGCATGTACTTGCTTTTAAAATTTGTCTTAGATTAGATTTTTGTCCCTTAATCTGGATTTAATCAAAATAATCACAACAAAAGCAATCTGCTCCCAAATTATTTTTTTTCTCTAGGAAGTATCTTCATTCTTGTTATCAGTAGGCACTGCTTCTAAACAGTATCTCTTTGTATCAATAAATTTGTGTGAGATGAAATAAATTAATCAGGATGTTAAACTATGGGACTATAGTATATAGTTAAACTATACTATACTATACTAAACTATAGTATAGTATATCGTATTATATTATACTATGCAGATAGATGAACAGAAAAGTAGCACTATATAACCTCTCAACTTTTTAAGAACATTTTCATAATGAAATACTAGAAGGCTTATGTGAGAAACACCAATCCTAGTTTCTATGCCATAAAGTAGTCACAGGCTACCAATTTTTTTCCCAACCTTTATATGTAAGGGTGTTTTCCCTGTGTGTATATGTCTATTACTACATGCATGTAGTGCCCTCAGAGGCCAGAAGAGGACATCAGATACCCTAGGACTGGAATTGCTTTTGAGCTGTGTGGGTGCTAAGAATCAAACCTGGGTCCCCTGGAGGAGCATTTAGTTCTCTTAACCACCAAGTCATCTCTCCAGCCTTCCTCATCCACTTTAACAGGGAAGATTTTAGTTTGTCTTTAGAAAACTTTCTCTCACCAGGCAGTGGTGGCACATGCCTTTAGTCCCAGCACTCGGGAGGCAGAGGCAGGGGGGTCTCTGTGAGATCTCTGTGAGCCTGGTCTACAAGAGCTAGTTCCAGGACAGCCCCCAAAACCATAGAAAAACCCTGCCTTGAAAAAAAAAAAAAAAAGAAAAAAAAAACTTTCTCTCTTCTTTAATTTTTAAAACCTGGTTTAATTTGTAACCCTGGTTATTCACACCCAGTTATAAATTTCTGATTTCATACTGTTGTAGTTTGAAGCACTGAGCTATGTCTTGTCTGTAATTTCAAATTAACTCAATAATTTGGTGATATTTTCAAAAGGAACCATTTCCCATTTGAGCCAAACTACTATGATTAAACTAAATCACTTCTAAAAGTCTATCCAAATCTTGACCTTTTTTGAAGTTCAAGGACAATTTTAGTGGAGTCTGGGAGGAGAAAACAGAGTGGGTACCAGAAGGAGGGGGAATGCATAAGAAGAGAAATAATTGGCCGGAGAGGTGGCACAGTGGTTAGAGCACTTGTTACTCTTGCAGAGGACCTGGGTTTGATGCCTGGCACCCGCATAATGGTTAGCAGCCATCCAAAATTCAAATTCCAGGTGATCTGATGACCTGTTCTGACCTTGACAGGCACCAAGCACACAGGTGGTGCACAGGCAAAACAGCATAAAATAAAATAAATAAAATCTTACTTAGAGAAAGTTAATCATGCCTTTTGAGTTGGAGCGCAGGAAAGCAGGCCATCCACTGTGACTTGGCAAAGCATTTGTATGTAGGGGCCGGATAGAAGGACGGTTTCAGAGAAGGAAGTGGAGGAGAGCAGATGTTCAAGGACATGCTCAGTTGTACAGCACGTTCACAACCAGCCTGGAGTACATGAAACTCTGTCCCCCAAAATCCAAACCCATAGCAAGACATCTGCCAGGAAATGCACAAGAAAATAGGGAATAAGTGAAAACCAAAGTTACCTAACCCAGTTATGCAGGAGGCTTGGCCAGGGGCCAGTGTCTTTACACCATCACTTGGGAGCTGAAGTATGAAGACTGCTATCTGAAAAGAGAGTAAAACCAGCTGTCAGGTCTCCCTCACTAGGCCTGGAAGAGCACTAAGTCAACAGTATAACTTTCCATACCTCTTCTATATTGTATGTGGATACCAGCCTAAATCCTAATGACGTGTGCTTGCTCCTTTTAGGAAACCAAATGAACACTGATTTGTTTTAGTTTTAGTCTAAGATTAGTAAAATGACCTCAGTTTTGTGAATTTACTTTTTCCTCTAGCTTACTAATAACCTGCATCTCGATGGATGTGTGTATATGTGTGTGTAAACATACATTCTTTTCTGTTTCTTTTCCAGTATTTGAAGGCTGTGATAACTCCAGAGTGTCTTATGATACTAGATTATCGGAATTTAAACCTGGAGCAGTGGCTGTTCCGGGAACTGCCATCCCAGCTGGCTGGAGAAGGTCAGCTCGTCACATACCCGTTGCCGTTTGAGTTCAGAGCTATTGAAGCACTCCTGCAGTATTGGGTAAGCCTGATTGGATGTATAGTCTGGAGTGAGTGTGAAGACAAGTTAGTACTGACTATTTCAAAGCTGCTCTCCCCAGCCATAGCAGTCCCTTGTAAGGCTCCTCTAGGGAGACAACTTCATCCTTCAGCTTTATGACCCAGCCAAGTAAACCTAGACTCTTGAGAGGAAACTGGCAAGCCACATTTCAGATTGGCTCCCTTTATACACTTTTATGTTTTTATTTTATTTTATTTTTGTTTACTCTTGTTTGTTGACTTGGGATCCCCCTGTGTATACCAGGCTGGCCTTGAACTGACATGCTTCATCCTCTCTAGTGTTAGCACTACAAGTGCCTGCCACCATACCTGTTTGTGCACTTTCAGTGACACATTATGGGATGAGAATTCAGGGAACCTTAAATTGGGATGTAAGTGAGCTCTGGGCACCTCTCATTTCGTTCTTCAAATTGAACTGTATAATGCAAGTGCTCACATGTGAACCCACCATTCGTGAAACAGTCCTCTGTTTGAGCCGCTCAAGGAGGTGACACTTCTTGTTAGGGACCTAGACTGACAGGAACCACGGTTCTTCTAATGACCCCTGCCCCATAAATCAGCAGTTACTAGATTCCTGGGAGTTGCACAAGCCCAATCAAGGTGGCCACTGCCTTCCCAGTCCCTTCTAATTTTTTACAATTTATCCTGCCCCTAATTAGACTGGATTGTACTATTCAGGATCTAGCTGCAATCAGGAGTCAATGCTGGGAACTTATTAGCCAGAGTGGGAGATTGAGAGAACATTTGAAAGGTCAGAAGAGTACCTTTCTCTGTTATCTGCTTTGCTTCAGTGTAGGAACAGATGCTTCCCTCTCTACTGGGCACGAGTAACAGCACTGTGCAAACAGTAGTGGGTGACTGGCTAGGCTGACTCAGGAGTCCATAATAAGGGAGTGGATGCAGTCAGCTCTGGGAGAACAGAGGGAGCTCAGAGGTCTAGTGTAAAATAGCAATTCTTTCCTGTGCCATGGGGTCCCTGGAAGATTCCTTTCTGAAAGAACATTATAGTATCAAGCCAACCATCTCTTTATGGGATCCACTTTCAAATAAAGGAGAGCCCCTCAGCCCATCTGTGGACCATGACGCCAGGAGCAGGAGGCTTTATTTTTTTTATTTTTTTATTTTTTTGGTTTATGGAGACAGGGTTTCTCTGTATTGCTTTGGAGCCTATCCTGGCACTTGCTCTGGAGACCAGGCTGGCCTAGAACTCACAGAGATCCACCTGCCTCTGCCTCCGGAGTGCTGGGATTAAAGGCGTGCGCCACCAATGCCCAGCTTATTTATTAGTTTTATGTTGTTTGCCACCTCATGTGATTTTTCAATCTTAACTGCTATCCTGTTAGCAATTTATTCCTGTTGAATATAGCCATGCTTGTGTTAGCTTAAGAAAAAGCATACTTTGAACTTTACATTGATGTATCTTAAGTAAAAGTTAAGCTTCAGTTTTTTTCTGCCTCCCGAGGGCTGGAATTACAGGCATATGTGACAATATGTCCAGTTCTTGCAATGCTGTGGATCAGACCTGGGACTTCATGCATGCTAGGCAAGCTCTCTACCACCTGAACTACATCTCCATCCCAAGTTTCAGTTGTTAAAAGGTCATTATCCACAGCAATTTTGAACAGTGTTCTGTTTATAGAAAACAGCTATTCCTAAAGTGAAATGGGTGCTTTGACATGGAATTTCAGGATTTTAACTAAAGATTGATTTTACATTTATTGTATATGTGTGCACATGTATGTAGGTGCCAGCAGAGGCCAGGGCATGTTGGATCTCCTGGAGCGAGTTACAGTTGCATGTTACATGTGAGCTGCCTAACATGGCTGTTGGGAACCAAATTCTGGGGCCCACTGTTGGAAACCAAATTCTGGTCCTCTAGAAGAGCAGGAAGTGCTCTTAGCTACAGAGCCTCTCTCCAGTCCCCAGGACGTCATTAGCAAATCATTCCCTAGTCCTTTCTTTGCAACTGTCTATAGAGGAAGACTGTTGCTGAGACACAGATAATGATTCACAGGACTAGGTTCAAATATAGGTTAAATGTAATTTATTTTGGGTAAAGTCACTTACACAAGAAGCAGATGGCCCCCCAGGTTCCTGCTCTAAGGATCCATACAGGCTGCTCCCTGTGACCCCACCGGACCCCACACCTAAACGCACTCCACGTCTTGGCCTCACCTGTGACCTGGGTCACAGGTGACTTGGGCATGGTCAGCGCTATAGGTGTGGGTGGGGTGGATGTTTCACTACAGACTGTTCTGAGAGTTAATTCTGAGCCTAGTGACAGCATTACATGTTGGTCTTCTAAGCCAGGAGATGTAGCTTTTGAGACATCTATAAATAGGTGTTCTGAAATGCTGTCAGTATTTTGGGCTAGCAAAAATGTCTGTGTTTAATCAGAGGCTTCACTGATCCTAAGTTCTAAAAAGGTTGTTTTAATTCTTATGAAAGGCCATGTTGTTATCTAGATCAACACCCTTCAGGGGAAACTTAGCATCCTGCAGCCACTGATCCTTGAGACCCTGGATGCATTAGTGGACCCTAAGCACTCGTCTGTCGACAGAAGCAAACTGCATGTCCTACTCCAAAATGGCAAAAGGTAAATATGGGTGGTTTGTCAAGCTGGGAGTTAGAGACAGATTCGTTGATATGGAGAGATGGTTAACATAAATTCACAGGTGACACTATTGTGATTCAACTTTACTAATGATAATAGCCTTCCATGATGGACCCATGGTGGTGGTGTAGCTTTTTTTTTTTTTTTTTTTTTTTTTTTTTTTTTTTTTTTTTAGGATTCCTGGGAGGAAAAGACATGTTTTATTGTGTATCCCAGTCTGACCTTGAACTCAGTGGAACTCAGACTTGATGTGTCTCCTGCCTCAGCCTCCTCAGTGCTGAAATTTGGTTTTCATAATGAAAATAATGTGTTTTTTTTAAGTAGTTAATATAGGTAGGGAATTGAACTAAAGGAGCACACAGTCTAATATTTATTGGAAGATACTGCACAATCATTTTTTAAGGCCCATCTGTCATCCCCATTCAGGAGTTAAGGCTGTCTTCATTTTGATAGCAAATTCATTGATCCAAATTCATTTTCACTTATCCTCCAATCTAAGGCCAGTGTTCATTTTCTAAAGTCATAATTCATCCAAGAATTTAAATTTTCTGCATTAATTAATTTGTGTCATAATTTAAATAAATATACTCTGAGATTTGACTCCCCAACTTTTCTTTGAAAATTTAGCAGTTAGGGGCTGTGGCTGTGGTTCAGTAGTCGAGTGTTTACCTGGTATATGCGTGGCCCTGAGCTCAGTCCCCAGAACCACAGAAAAATGTACAAAACACTGATAGTTAAAACTTGATATGGGGGGAGAGGTGTGGTTGTTAGAGAGATGAGGGCACCTCCTATCCCAACACACACAGCCTTTTATACCTTTTAAGTGCTGATAACCAAACAGGTTCTCTGGGACAGCAATATGTGCCCTTAACACTATTTTCAAGAAAAATTGGGGAGTAAAAATCTCGAGTATATTTATTTAAATTATGACACAAATTAATTCAGGTGGTTAGGTTTGGTGTTAAGCTCTTCTACGTGCAGAGCTATCTCAGCAGCTCAGAAAGCCAAAAGTTTTAGTTGTTTTTTGTTTTGTTTTATTTATTATAAATACAGTATTCTGCCTGAACCCCAGAAGAGGGCTCCAGATATCATTATGGATGGTTGTGAGCCACCATGTGGTTGGTGGGAATTGAGCTCAGGACCTCTGGAAGAGCAACTGCTGAACCATCTCCAGAATAAGAAGATATTCTTTGTTTTGTTTTATTTTGCTTTTTGTTTTCTGAGACAAGGTTTCTGTATAAGAAGATAGTCTCTTTTTTGTTTTGTTTTGTTTTGCTTTTTTTCTGAGACAAGGTTCCTGGCTGTCCTGGATCTTGATCTGTATATCAGGCTGGCCTCAAACTCACAGAGCTCTTCCTGCCTCTGACTCCTGAGTGCTTGGATTAAAGGCATGCACCACCACTACCTGACAATTGTTTTAGTTTTTATTATTCTGGGGGCAAGGGAGATATGTGCATGTTTTTATTATTCTGTGTGGTTGGGGGGGGGGTAATATACGTGTGGAGGTCAGAACAACTTGATGGAATTGGTTCTCTACTTCCACTGTGTGACTCCCACAGACTGAACAGTGCTCATCAGGCAACAGATGCCTTCACTTTCTTGAGCCTTCTTACTGGTCCCAGTTTGTCTTTGTTTTTTTGAGACAGGGTTTCTCTGTGTAGCTTTGGAGCCTATCCTGGCACTTGCTCTGGAGACCAGGCTGGCCTCGAACTCACAGAGATCCTCCTGCCTCTGCGTCCTGAGTGTTGGGACTAAAGATATGCGCCACCAACGCCCAGCCAGTTTGTCTTTTTATTACTAAGATTTATTTATTTTATGTTTTTTTATGTTTTTAAGTGTTTTTTCTGCATATGTGTACCATGTGTGTTCCTGGTGCCTGAAGAGGTCAAGACACAGGATTTTCCCCAAAACTGGAGTTACAGATAGTCAGGGCTGGATGCCAAACTCCAGTCCTCTGAAAGAGCAGTCAGTGATATGAACTGCTTGGCCATCTGTCCCTTAAGCCCCTATCCCCAGTTAAAATTTTAAAAGGGTTTGCAGTTTGTCCAATGTTGGAGTACTAGTATCAGTTATAAGTAAGCTCCAGGATGGAAAGATGGTTCAGTGGTCAGTATGATGCTCTTTCTGAGGGCCTGAGTTCCATTCCCAGTGTGCAGCTCTGATGGTCCTTGGCCACCTGTAACTCCAGCTCCAGGAAGCAACACTCTGGCTTCAATGGGTGCATGCACACAAGTGGCATAGGCACATAGTCAAACATAAATATAAATAATTTTTTAAAATACTCAAGCTGAAGGCCTGCTTTGACATGGGGTTCAGATACCAAAGAAGATCGTGGAGTCGGGGGCAGGGGTGGCACACACATGATGTGTGGGTGAATCAAAATGGCTGTGATCAGTGTTTAATTGAAAAAAGTCTACACATTTTATGCTCTGTAGACATAAGAAGAATGACTGCTTTATCAAGCAGGAACTTTCTTCAAGCCCCCAATAGAATGGAGACCCTTATCCTAACCTTGGGAAAAGGACTTCTGGGAAACAGACATTACATTACAGTGTCTTAGTCTTAATCTGTGGACCTGTTCCCCTCATACACTCCCAAAAGGGAAGGTCCTGGTGTCTTACTCTTTTCCCATTATACTTTACTATTCTGATTCCTCTGAGTTCAGTTATTAGCTGAACTCTTCCCCTTAGTAGACTCAGGCTCTGGGTCTGGACTGTAGGCATCATCCTTGGGATCAGGTGTGTCTAGTAAATCTCTAACTATCCTGTTCTTGGTGTCATTAGGAGGGCACAATGGAGTTCCTGGTTTCTATGGTGGTGGGGATTTTTTTTCCAGAGAATAATTTTTACATTTTTGGTTTTTGTTTGTTTGTTTTTTGGTTTTTTTTGTTGTTGTTGTTGTTGTTGTTTTTGTTTTTTTTTTTGTTTTGTTTTTCGAGACAGGGTTTCTCTGTGTAGCTTTGGAGCCTATCCTGGCACTCGCTCTGGAGACCAGGCTGGCCTCGAACTCACAGAGATCCGCCTGCCTCTGTCTCCCGAGTGCTGGGATTAAAGGCGTGTGCCACTAACGCCAGGCCATTGTATACATTTTTATCCCTTACCAAAGCCCACACAAAACTTCCCAAAGGGAAAGGCATTAATATTGAGAATCATTAAAAATGAAAGTTAAAAGGTGCTGGAGAAGTTGGTTCACAGTATCAAAATGCCGTCACTTTGTCAAGCAGCAGTAGTCACCATGTAGTCCACACCATACTCAAAGCTGGGTGTGGTAACTCACATGTAATCCCAGCACTCTGCAGTTTAAGGCAGGAGGATTGCCTCGAGTTGGTGGCCAGGCTAGGCAACAGAGTGATATCCTCTCTCAAAGAGGGGTGCAGGTGGGGGTGTTTAATAAGAAAGAGCCCTTGCTTGTCGTGAACAAGACCCTTGATTCAACATTCAGAACCACACATAAAAAACAAAATGGTCTGTCTGCCCCCCCCCCCGCGTGTATCTCACAAGAAAGATTATGAACCTCATTGTAACTCCTCCTAACCTGTGTATCATAGGATTCCTTTGACTTTTCTGGCCTGTAACCTACTTACTGTAAACCTCCCCAGTGGGCCTCTTAGCTAAGAATAAATGCCCAAGCATTTTACCTTAACCTTTAAATTTCTAGACTGACATAGCTTTGAAAGCCAACAAAATTATTGTTATGTAGAGCTGTGTTATTGCTGATCTTACTAATTTGGTTTGAGAATGATTAATTTGCATAATTGTTGAAATGTTTCTCACCAGTGTACTCTGAGTGATAGATCCAATGGTAAGATGCCCAAAACATACTGTTCTTACAGTGAAATTATTGCACCTTTACTCTGCTGATACTTGCTGTGTAACTATTTTTACAGTCTCTCCGAGTTAGAAACAGACATCAAAATTTTCAAAGAGTCAATTTTGGAGCTTTTGGATGAGGAAGAGATGCTGGAAGAACTCTGTCTAACCAAGTGGAGTGACCCACAGGTCTTGTAAGTATTGCTTTGTGTTGTTTCTGGTGAGCCTATATTTGTCTAAAATAGAGATTAAGCATTAGTTACTTTGTCTTGCACATGGCCCAGCTCAGTAATACTTCAGTGAGTATGCACTGCATTTCAGCCACTGGTGTTATGATATTTGACATGGGTGGAACCTTAGTGGATCCCATGGTGAATGAGAAACAAATACGCCATACAGGTAGAACTTACGTAGGGAAGAGAGAAGGAAAGAGAAGGGAAAGAGAAAAAGAGGGGAGAGGGAGGAGAAAAAAGAAGAGACAAAGACCTGCCTGCCTCTTCAGAGGGGCATCAGGAAAGAGAGAGCAGGAATAGGCGGAGCTTGTCTCTTAAAGGGACCTTTTGTACCTGCATAGAGCCAGGGTACTGCTTGCCATGTGTGAAGGGGTGATGAGTTCTGCCAGGTCCCCAAGGGGTCGGGCCAAGGTGTGCCTAGATACTAACAGCTGGGCTGAAAACATCACAATTATCCTCAAGGGATGAATCACTAAGCAACATATGTGAGATGAAATAGGTTCCCTAAGGAGCAAAGGCCAACAATTGAGTGGTAGAAGAGATGGTGTGGATTGTATTCTGTAAGTCTTGTCTGTTAAAAGCACATGGCTTACATACTTTTTCTGACTTACAAACCTAAAAATCATTTGCTTTTTAGAAACAGCTCTAATAGAGCATAGTCACGGCTACGTATCAGAGCAGGTCCAAGAAACCTCTGCAGCTTGTGAAACCCACTGTCTGATCTGTAATACTAAGTGCATTTAGAAGTTACTGGAGACTTGGGTCTACTTCTCTAGGAGACAGTGGTATGGTTCTAAGTACTCATTCACTGAAAAGCAAGGAAAGGGGCTAGTGAGATGGCTCAGCAGGTAAAAGTTGTTACGTGCAAACCTTCCAACATGAGTTCAATCCCTGGAGTTCATATAAAAGTGAAAGGAAAGTACCAGTACCACATTGTTCTCTATGTGTTCACGGAAGCAGATATCAGCAGTTAGCCCTCTGCTCACTCATCCAGGGAACAGAGAAATTAGCTGCTACTGTAATTGTTTGTATTCAAAGGGATACGCTCTTTTTAATGTATATAGGTGGCCTGCATGTATGTCTGTGTACCCACATGTTTGGTGCCCACAGAGGCCAGAAGAGAGCATTCGACCTCTCAGAATTGGAGTTAATGGATGTTTGTGAGCCACCATGTGGATGCTAGAAATGAAACCCAGTCATCTGGAAGAGCAACCAGTACCCTTAACCACTGAGACATCTTTCCAGCACCAAGAAATGCTCCTTTCTATTTAGTGAAGGAAAAAAGCTTGTAGATTCAAGATAACCTTTGTTCAGATAAATACCAGCCAAACACAAGCTAGAGCAGCAAGGCCAGGGAGAAGGGGGGGGAAGAAGAAGAAGAAGAAGAAGAAGAAGAAGAAGAAGAAGAAGGAAGGGGTTCCATGTTCCATGTGCTCTCGGTCCCTTAAGAGTCCCTTTCGCATTATTCTGACCTTACCTTGACCACGCCTTGACCGGCGTGGTCAGGCACACCTGTAGCCAGCCCTTAGGAGGCGTGGTTACTGTGTCTCCCTACAATTTAGTCTGGGTTTTCTTGTGCTTTATAGTGGCCTAGGGTTTGCACTGTCTCATCAATAGTCACATTTGTATTTTCTAGTCACTAATGGCATGTGCTTGCATGTTTCTTTTGAATTGAGGCCATGGAGCACAGTGATGCTAACTCATCTGTGTAGGGCTGAGTGTATCATGCTTAGGATCAGTTGGCATAGCTTCTCACAAATTAGATGCAATCAAACAGATGAGATACGGATGGCTTTCTTGCTGGCGGCTGAGGTTGGGGGTCAATATATGTTGCATGTGCTCAGATTTGTTGACTGTGTTATCTCTGAATTGAAGTGAAAAGAGAAGTACTGGGATTGACCATGCAGACGAGATGGAACTGCTGCTAGAAAACTACTACCGGTTAGCTGAGGACCTTTCCAATGAGGCTCGGGAGCTTCGGGTCCTGATTGATGACTCGCAGAGCATCATCTTCATCAATCTAGACAGGTGAGGATGGGGTTATGACTAACACTGCAGAGTGCCTTTTAAAGAAATGGTTTTTCAGACGAAGTCACATCTGTGACTACTCCATAAGTGGGCCTTCTTTTTAGTTTCCTAATGCCTGACAAAAACAACTGAAGCAATGCTGGCTTATTTGGACAATTTGACAAGGAAATCACAAGGACAGAAACTTGAAGTAACTGGACCAGTGAGGTGGATGCTGGTGCTCAGCTCACTTTCTCCCTTTTGATGCTGATTAAGTCCCCAGCCAAGGATTGGTACCGCCTATGGTGAGGTGGACATTCCCTCCTCAATTAAGAGGTTTGTTTCTATGGTGATTCCAAATCAAGTTACAATATTAATCATCTTAGGACTTCCTTTTGAAGATGGAGAGTGGCCCCATAGGTGTTCACTAGGTTTTGCTGGGTTTGTGTTTCCTGGTCTGAATTGGTTGTTTTCTCTCCAGCCATCGCAATGTGATGATGAGGTTAAATCTACAACTAACCATGGGAACCTTCTCTCTTTCACTCTTTGGACTAATGGGAGTTGCTTTTGGCATGAATTTGGAATCTTCCCTTGAAGAGGTAAGAATGTAATTTCTTAAATAACAGAATTTTTTAAATTTTTAGATGATAGAAGAGTTTTATGAAGTATGACCTGCTATATTAGTTTTATTTTTCATTGCTATGACAAAATACCTGGCAATGGCAGCATAAAGAAAATGCTTATTTTGGCTCACAGTTTAAAGGAGTTACAGTCCATCATGGCAGGAAAGGCAGAGTAGCAGATCATGAGGCCTCTCCTCACATGGTCCACAGACAGGAAGCAGATGACTCTCTCAATTCAGTTAAACCTCTATGGAAATAACCTCACAGATTTGTGACTCCTGGGTGATTCCAAATCTACTCAAGTTAACAGTAAAGATAACTGCCACATCTGCATATTCTCATAAAGAGTTAAGTATAGGCTGTAACTCACTTAGAATTCAGGCAGGTATTGTTGGCCCCTGTGTATAGGTAGGACTATGGCCTTACACTGCTATATTTCCTAGAACATAGAAGTACTCAGGAGAAGCTAACACAGCCACCCTGTGAGGCAGTGGTAATGAAGGATTTTATTTTTAGTTCTATGTGTACCCTGTACCTAGAAGTTCACATACATAGGGCTTGTTTGATGTAGAAATCACAACTCTATGAAAGAGATCTATTTCCCCTACTTTGTAAGTGTGGAAATGGAGGCTCAGAAAACTTAGTAAATTGCAGATCTATAAAACCAGATGATTTCAACCCAAAGATAGATGCTTTCCACTCTGCCCTCTTGCCTTTTCATGTAACGCCAAGGTTTTTAGAACCCAGTAGCCGGGCATTTTCAAGGGAGGTCTTGCAAGGTTTCTAGCGGTGATCAAATGTGCGGTCAGCACTTTGGTATTTGGCACTTCATCCTGTGTAGTGTATTGCTTCTGTGGCTGCCACTGTGGTCTGTGGTCTAGCCAGCACCATCTCAGGACCACACATCTGTAAATATGTTCTTTAGAAAACTATCACAACAGTCTACATAAAGATACTCCCGTTCCTTTTGACCGCCTTAGGAGAGGTGCAGACCCCAGGTCTGTGCGCATCTGATCTCTTCTGGATTTGACGCAGACGTCTCAACCACTCGCGTCAACTGCGCTCTGATTATTCTCAGAGACGATGGCTGCACAGCTCCCCCCTCACCTCCCAGCTTTATTGCCTAGTTCATTTTCACCTGTTTGGGTCATAGCCTTTGTTACGATTCATGCAGTATTAGTAGAAAACATGAGGTATGAAATTCCCCAAAATTGCAAACATTTTGAAGACCAATCATACTTCATTGATGTGGAAAATTCCATAGCTGGTCTGTTGTGACTCAGTCAAGATGTGGGTGCACTGCTGGGTGGTGGCGGTCCACACCTTTAATCCCAGCCTGGTCTACAAGAGCTAGTTCCAGGACAGCCTCCAAAGCCACAGAGAAACCCTGTCTCAAAAAACCAAAAGAAAAAAAAAAAAAAAAAAAAGAAAAAAAAAAAAAAGAAAAAAAAAAAGATGTGGGTGCTTTGGACTAATATACATGTATTAGGTGCATGTGAAATGTTTTTCTTTAGACTCCAAAAGAAAATACCATTGTTATGTCACAAGCCTCACCAAGAGGAAGCATATACAACTAATTGTATTCCTGCCTTTCAAAAGTTAATGGGTGAGCTTGAAAAACAGAGGATAATGAATGTTAGAGAATGGTGCTTCTTATTTTCCAGTTGATATTATAAATACATAAACTGAAACATGTTTTGGTCCTAAGGAGTTAAGAGGAGATAACCAACCTTCTTAGCTAACCCATAAGCTAACATGTTTTATGCTGAACTCCAATATTCTTATTCAAGGCCTATCCCCCCACCAAAAAAAAGTGGTTTTTTTGTTTTGCTTCAATTCCTTTTGATCCAGGTGTGGTAGTATACACCTGTAGACTCAACTCTTTGGTAGGATGTGGCAGTAGATCTCCTGAGTCCAGGGACTTTAGAGCCAGCCTGGGTAGTAGCAAAGCCTTTCCTTTACAACATCCTTTCTTGATTATTTGCATTAATGTGCAGTCCTAGGTACAGAAGAGCCCAGCTGTGAGACATTTGAGGTCTGAGTGGTAACCCTGCTCTTGGTCTCAGGGCTTTGCTGCAGGCCAGGTTCCTAGCTCTTTCTATGGAAGAGCTCTTATGATAACAGCAAGGCTCCTTTTAACTCTGCAGGAAGGTTTGTCTCTGAAGAGCCTAACCTTTGTAAGTAGAATGAACCTTTTTTTTTTTTTTTTTTTTTTTTCTTTCAGGACCACCGTGTGTTTTGGCTGATTACAGGGATTATGTTTATGGGAAGTGGCCTCATCTGGAGGAGGTTGCTTTCTTTCCTTGGAAGACAGCTGGAAGCCCCTTTGCCCCCTATGGTATGGACTGGGAGCTCACAGCAGCACTGATGTGGGCTGCAATCCTTGGCCTAAATCAGGTAGCCTGGGTTTCAGTTGTCACAAGCTTTGTAACCCTGGGCCAGGTACTTGATTTTTTTTAACTCTCCTTACTGTCCCTCTGTTAATCCAGTCAGCACTATATGTTTCATAGGATTTGGAAAGTTACATGAGCTGAGCTGTTGAGCAGTATCCCAACACAGCAACGCCTTTAGGAGTTGCTTGGTCTCTATAGATCACTAACAAGAAGCGTACATTGAGGCAGATGCTCATCACTCTGCTGGGCTTTCCCATAGCCATACTGCAGTGCAGCAGCACTCCATGAGCCCCTGGTAGCTCCTCCCCCCATGTATGTGGAGACGCATGGGTGGAGTAAGTGCATAGGCTCTGACTTGTGCAGTCCTTTGTTTTTATCTGGTTAGTGACTTCTAAGAAAGACACAAACTGAAATTTGTTTCCTGCTTTATTTAGATGGCCTCCTTACCTAAAAAGACCCTTCTGGCAGATAGAAGGATGGAAGTGAAAAACAGCCTCAGGGCGGAAGGACTCGGAACAAGCAGAACTGTCCTGGCAAGCCGCTAACAGCAACTTTTTATGCTTCTGAAGCTATTACCACTCTAAGGGGTCGGGGGGACTGCTATTTAAATTATGTCTGACTTAAAAATACTGTGGCATTCACAATACTAAAGCATGATTGCGTCTTCAGAATTCTGTGAGACAAAGTGCTTCTTTGTAAAAGGCCAAAATTCTATGTCCTACCAACCTTGAATACTGTTTTTATGGGCTTCTTAAAGTATAGATTAATTTATTGTGAGATAGACTTGTCTAGACTCAGTGCTGTTATACATATGAAGAAAAGTGCAGCTCCATGCTAAAGGAGCCCAGGAACCTGGCAGAGCCTATAGTACCAGAGCTCATGGGCTGCAGTTTTTCAGACAGGGAGTCATGTTCCTATCAACTTCTGACTCGGGGGAAAAAAGCTGATGCATCTGTTAGCCTTGCAATGAAGTCCGTAATGTCAGCCCTTGATAGAACCTTATTTTCAGGTATCTGTTCTCTTTTATATATAAGACAAGTAGAAGGGAAATATAATTTAATATCCACATACATGGATTCTGGTAAATCAAGATACTATTTTTCTCTGATTGGTTATAAATAGAACCTTTGAAAGTAAAGTTGAAAGGAAGTGTTTATTCTCTTACAATTTTATAGCTGTTTTGATCATTGCCTTATTTAAGAGATTGTCGTGCTGTACTGCTCCCCAAAGGAAATATATGCAGCCAGCTACTCTGTTTGCCCATCTCTCTAAAATTAGCAGGTGGGTTTGTCAAACAAGAGGATAGTTACTCTAAGAACGGTGGGAATGTTATCATCCCAATCAGAAGTTTGCATTTAAAACAAATGACAAAGCAGGACATGGTTGGTCCTTCACTGTAATTCCGGTCCTTGAAAGGCTGCAGCAGGAGGATTATGTAGAGGTAGAGACCAGCCTGGGCTCAGTGAATTCTGGGTCAGTAGAGGTTTGGCATGAGTTCCAGGCCCACTTGGACTGTAAAGTAAGACCCTGTTTCTCAAACACTAAATAAATGGGACTGGGGTACTGCTCATTGTTAGAGTGCCCACCCAGCATGGACAAAGCTGTGGGGTCAGCTCCCTAGTACCACAGTAAATAACCAAGTTGTTGATGCCTGTAAGTCTGAAAGCTGCCATCCTAATAACATTCTGCCCACCTTTGCGTTTTTTCTAGAGGCTTCATTGAGTTGTGTGCTAGAACATTAATTACAGTTAGTGTGCTTCCAGAAGTAGAGCACTTGTAAGATTGTAATAAGACCGGAGCAGCTCTTAGCCTACAGAGTAGGAATAGGAGAAGTATACCCACCCCAGATGTTGTGTGTGCCCAATTACCCTAATGCGTCCCACAAGAATGTCAGATTCATTTATTGGGTGATTTAGTAATGGGAATAAGAATGTTATTCCAGTAGAAAACAGAATGTTACAAGTGAGCTCCATTGCTGTGTGGGACTGTGAGAAGCTGGCCTGGTGTCCCAGCCGTGATATGCTAGAGTGTGACCCCGTGGAAACTGTAGGAGCTGATCCTTTGATAGTGTCCAAGATCATCTTTGATGACTCGTGGCTTCCACAGCACCCATCATAAGTAGACCCAAACCTGCCGTGATTGGTCTTACACTGTCTTGGGTTTTGCTGGACTGAGGTACATGAATTGAAATCCATTTGACCCCAGGTCACATAGGATAAAATTCATTTTTTCCCTGTAGTGTTAGTTTATAAGTTTGAGTAAAGTAATTGTCTTAATTAGTCATGTACCTCCTAGCAGTAACTACTTCTCCAGTCAGATAAAAGGACAGAACTGGCAGTTTGTACATTTCAAAGGTGGTTATGTCTGGGAGGATTTTTGAGTGTAACTGCTACTTAAAGGAAATGTTGTAAAGTATCAAATACTAAGTTATATGATTGAGCAAGCAGCAGTCACATCCTATGTGAAGCATCAGCAAGGGGGTATGGTACTTTTTTTTCTTCTTAATGAGGGAAAATTGCTCTGGAGGGCTGCCATCTTTAAGGTAATTAATTCTCTTGGTGACACACGCACGATGGAGTTCTGTGCATCAGAGGCTATTTTGAGTTCAGGCCAGGAGGAGTGCTAACATCGTGCTCTTGGAACCCAGGTTCGAATTAGATTTTGAGGCCAACCTTTCTTCCTGTCAGCAACACATAAATGCAAACCCATCCGAGCTCTAGCTTCGGGTATGGAGGTACAGCCCGAATGCTCTTTTGACAGGGACGTGGGATTTCAGCGTGGAATTCCATTTTCTATATCAGAGAATAAGGCCTCTATCAAGCAGGCACACTGCGAGTGAGCTGGACAAGAGCATACTGGGCAGACTGTCCTTCAGCAAGGCACGCCTGGAATTCAGCATTGCACACATCTATGGTGTTATTGCGCTTTGCAGTTTTGTCGATGACCAAAGCTAGTTGATGGAAAGCAGTATCACAACTGGGCAGCTGAGAACTGGACGTATTTCTCTGGCGTGGGGGGGGGGGGCCAGGAAGGTCTCTTCATTAAGGTTGCCAGCCCCGTTAAGAGCCTCATTGGTAGCCCATGCCTCTGATGGGACAGGGGATCTAGGATCTGTGCAGATTTTGTCCAGGAATTGGGCCTCGTAAAGTGAAGGGCCAGTTGGAGCTGGTCCATGCACCTTCTAATATCCTCTGTTGCAGCCACAGTTGAGTTTAACTGTTCCATTTTCATAACAAGGGAATCATATTTGGCAAGTAGTTCAGCAAGGCATGGCTGGATGCCCTCCACCATCAGAGCTGTAGCTGCTATGGGTTTTATTCCCTGCAGAATATTGCAGAAAGATTCACCCAGCTCCTCCAGATTAGGTTTATAGTTGAGTTCATTGAGTGGATCTATTTTTCCATCTCAAAGATCTTAGCTATCAAAATGCCCATATCAGGGCTGGTTACTAGTGTTTTCAATAGAATTTTAGTTACCTTGCCAAGGGGGTGATCAATATTAGGGTCTCCCTTGAGGTCAAAAGCCTCTTCAATGGACAACAACCCCTTTATGAGCTTCTCTGAGGATTCACTATCCTGAGAACTGATGCCATTTTTGCCCTTACACATCAAGGGGGACTTTACCAGAGCTACAGCAATTCTGAAGCTGCCAAAGATTAAGCAATGAAATTTTGCCTTTATCTCCTTCCCAGTGTGATATTTTTGACAGTTTGTCCTTATGTTCGGAGCCTCTGAGCCAATGTGGGCAAAGCGGAGGTCATCCTATGAAATGATCCCTCCTCATGTTATTCTTGACAACAGATGGAATAAGTACTAAATGATTCTTGCTGACAGGCTGTTTTGTGTGGCGGGGTCCAGGAGCTGCATCGGCTTTATTTCTTGGAATGGCATCACTGAAGCTACATTCCAACTTTAGTGTGATCTCATGGATCATGGACTTGGAATGGGGCCCGAGACCTGAGCTCTGCACCATAAGCCCATCTCCAATCATTGCAACTTTGTAGTCTAGGACAATAAGGCACAAAGCAATTCCTATCTTAAAGCCTTGAAAATGTACAGAGAGGAAGCTAGAAAACCAAACTGTAAATGTCTGTTGGTGTCTTGAGGTAAAGATCCCCAAGCTAAACAGTCGCATCCAGTTAGTGTTTCAGTTCTTCTCCACTTTCCTGTCTAAGCATTGTGGGCTGATTCTTAGAACCTCGATCAATGCTTGGTGGGAGGAAATTTTAATCCACCTGTTGAGGATAATACTCAGACTGTCATGTACTAATTTTTTCTCTTGTCAGGTCAACATTGGTTATAGATTGACCTTAAAAAGTGGTGTAGCACTTACTTTATTTCTCACAGAGGAGTTACTATGTTACAATTGTCAATATGACAATGTTACAGTTGCCCTTGTGACAATCCTGTTGACTTGAAGATGTTACTATCTCTAAAAGCTTTCAGCTATTTTTACCTGGTGCCTGCTACCTGCTATGTTCAGACATTGAGCCAAAGACAAATCCTGTGGACGGCCATGGCCATATTTAGACAGGCTCTCATCAGTTAGCAAAGCAAAAGTGCTGGCATTTGGGGCTAGAGCGTCAGCCCAGGGTTGGAGAAACCCATGCCTGATGTGTACAAGGCCCTGGGTTTAACCCTGCCGTTTACATTTGCTGATTGGCTATCACAGTGGCAAAGCAATAACCTTCTGCTGGTAGTGTTCTCCAAATAGGTTGAACTGCCGGTTACTACCCAAGCAAAATCAGATGTCCCTGTGTTCTTTCTGCTGTTTCTTAGGAGGTATATAGTGCACACTCAGAATGCCTAGTCTGAAGCATGAGTAGTGCCTTCTGGGGTGAGTATTTGTGAACTGTCCCTCTTTCTTTCTGCCCTATGAACTCATGTCTGAGTAGAGACATTTCTTCTTTGATCTCCTCTTCATTTTCTCTACAGAGGGATCCCTTTCTGAGTGGGACTTATCACCCATTTCCTTCTACTTTTGATACCATTTCCTAGGGTCAGAAGGAATAGTATCTCTCATGGCTGACACAGACCAGCCAGTCACCGTTAGCAGGTATGAGTGAGGGTGAATTTCTCCTGAAGCCATTCTATGGGGATGGAGCACAGAATCTACCCTAAAAAATGGGCCACAGCCCACTTCCCTCTGGGTTCCTCACTGGCCCTTATAGTCACCTTGGGCTTAGGCCACACCACTCCTTCCTGCTCTGTTGATGGATGGGGCTGGCAGCCTAACACAGCAAAGCCCCACCACCCTGTGAGACTTAAAGCCACAGTGGGTGAGATTCATCATCTGTCAGAACAGCCAGCTCCACAGACTTGTGCAAGGCACAAGATAGTTCATCCAACTCTCTGTTTCTGTGGTTGTTCTTCTAAATCCTTGAGGAAGGAACTGTATGTGGGCCCTTCCCCCATGCCATTCTCTTTTCTTCCCACAATGTTTTCACTATATATTGTACCGTCAGTATGACAAAATGCCCAAAATAAACGGCTTAAAAAGAGTAAATGTTTATTTTGGCTCACAGTTTCAGCCATGTTGGCTCCAGAGTGCTTGTCCCTGTTGCTTTGGGGCTGGGGAAGAATCAGTACATCATGGCAGAGGGTTCCTGTTCATTTCATGGCAGCTGGGAAGCAGACAAGGATTACTTGGGGTTCTTGTACACTCCAATGGCGTAACTTCCTCCAACAAGGTCCCACTCTAAAATTTCCACCCTCCTTCAGCTGGGGACCAAGCCTCCAACATGGGTATTTGGGGGGCACATTTAAGATCCAAATAGGACCAGCCACCACTAACAGATTTTTAAAGAAGCAATTGTATAGAGAGTATAAGAGCTGACTACACCTTTCTAGGCAAGAGAGAGACGGGTGTTCAAGCAGAAGGGGAGGGGTAATCGTTCTGGTCCCAAACACAGGCGGGAAGCTCAGAGAAGATGCGTAGAGCCTGCTGCTCCCCATCATCTGGTGTCTATACAGCTGATCATACTTCCAGGTAACCTGGCTGTCAGTATGTCTGTCCCAGAAGTCCCACCTCTGTCAGGCTTCACAGCTCCACTGGATGAATACTTTGTCCACCCTGGAGATGACTTGGCCCAAGAGAGAGGGGCAGAATAGGAGAGTGGAGTGACGTCTTCAATCTGAGCTAAGGCTGTAGACATGAAGTGCCCCAGAGAGCCGAGCTCCCCAAGAACTTCTTCCAGCAGCAACAACCACTTGGTTCTGTAGAGGGTACAATATAGACAGCATTCATGACACGTTCCCACCATGAAGCAGACATGACATCATGCTGTGCTCTGGAGACACAGAGGAAAGCAATGCTGCCCAGACCCCCATAGCTCCAACTTAGGTCTTTCCCTTTGTTCATACAACACTTTCTTGATCTGTAAGATCTAAAACCTACATTTGTGGAAGTTGACCCCAGCCTCTGTCTCCTGTACATAAAAAAATGGAAAATATGTAAGTGTGCTTATTCCAGAGCCATGCATCTGGAGTGATAAGGACTTAAACAGGGCTACCTTCACATATCATTCCTGCTGCCTAGTGTTTTCAGGCCCATCTTCCAGAATTACTTATTTCCAAAAACTTCTGCAGGTTGTGAGACATTTTAGTAATGGCAAGATCTTCACAGTTTGCAGTTAAATTTGATTTGGGGAGTTGTCAAAGTTATTATAAATCATTACTGGTAAATGAAGTGTGGCTGATCATGCTAGCTGCTAGCATTTTAGAGCAGGCTATGGCTTTCATCTTGTTGGTTTCATTTTAGCACAACTAACTGTCCCAAAATGATGATAATGACGTATTCCAAGTGGAGCCCTTTCTGGCACCTCCTAATACCCCAGTGTCAGCAAAAGAGAAAATCTTTTCAGTAACAAATGGTAATTTCTTTTCCCTTATTTATGTAATCACTAGTTTACGAAATGTGCTTTTACTTTGGCTATATTCTAAGTCTCCATTTCCTGGGCAAAGCATGCCCCTCGCTGAAGTTAACCCTTCACGGCTGCCTACCATCTCCCTAGTCTAACCATCTCAGGGTGTCCCCTTGAGGCCCATAGACCTGGCCAGCATAGAGAGCCACTGTCGTTAGCCCTGGGTCATGGTACATTGGTGTCTAAGGTCTTGGCTGCATTTTATCCTTCCACCTAAGCTGTGAGTGAGAGAGAGGTCATGTCTCACTGTTGCGTCTACCTCACTGCCCAGTGAAGCACCATAGTTAATGTTCTGCTGAGGCTCACCACATGACATGGGCAGTCTTAAGAAAAAAAGCACACAGACAGTGGCAGTGTTCCTTAGGAATGTATGTCTCCCTGCTGCCAATTCCAATAGATTCATGTGTCCTACCAGGGAAACCTGTCTTGTGAGTCCTAATTCAGGTCTCAGGAAAAGGCCACTCTGATGTGCTCACTAAGCCTTAATGCCCTGTCGAAATGTGAGCTGGGAAAGTGAGGGCTATTAATACTGACACACATGAACTGCAACTAGGAAAGCTAATTTGTAGAGTTGCACAGACCAGAATTAACTGAAGTCTTTGAGCTGGCCTTTATCACCACTGCCCTTGGTCGGTGTTCCTGCTAATGTGTTGATTTTTTTGAAGATGCATAAAATTGTAAATAAAAGCCCAGTGTATCCTTTGGAGAATACTTCCATTAGCTTAATAATTGCTGTTTCTAGTAGCTAATCCTATTGCATCCTGCTTGTCTTTGTCAGCGAGAATTGTTGGCCACCAGAGGACAGTTTCACCATGAGTCAGTCTCTCAAGCAGGGCCTTTGTCCCCAGCACCTCCCAAGCCTTACCTTACCAGACTGCTGTCTTCATGCCCTTAGGACTCCTGCACACTGCTCTCTTTAGCCTTTAGTCCTATGCCAGTCTCATGGACTGGCCTTTCCTGTGTATCTTCAAGAACAGTGACTGTCTTGTCTTTGTATTTTATAACCTAGCACAGTTCTATGGTACCAAATCCTGAAGTGAATGAACCATTTAGTGGTTTAGTTTGATTTCCTTTGTTTTCAGGCAGGGTCTCATTCTAACCCAGGCTAGCCTGGAACTCTTGAGTCCCAGGCTGGCCTCAAACTCCTACCTCAGCTTCTCATGCTGGGATTACAGGCATGAGCTACCACACCTGGCTCTCTAGTACTTACATATTAAGGTAAATTTCTTAATTCTATATTTATTAAAAATGTAATATTAAATGTATCCTTTAACAGTCCTGCTGCTGTGTTTCTCACCTACAAGGATATTTGCACAATTATGTAAAAAAAAAAAAAAATACAGGTGTAAGCATTGTCTGTAGTAGTTTAAAAAAATGGAAGTAACATAAATATGGAAATGTAATTGACCTGAATTATGGAATGTCCAGAGAATAAAGTATTGTTTAACTACTGAGAAAGATTAAATGTGCTGTGTACTTATTTGATAGGAAGTGAAGGTTGCTAAAAATGCAGTCATGGAATGTGTGTCTGTCTAGACCCATTTATAATAAGACTGACAGCGCAGCAAGGGTGTTGGTCATCAGGTAAAGGTGCTTGCTGCCCAGCCTGCCAGCCTGAGTTGAGTCTCTGGGACCCTCGTGGTGGGAGAAGAGAACTCAAGTGTCACGTGGTCCTCGGCACCACAAGTGTACCTCGGCACAGAAACATGCATGTAACACACAAAACAAACATTTAAATAAAACAACAAAATCTTATCAGTGGCTGTGACAGAGGTGCATCTTAGGCTGTGTGAGAAGTCGGTGCCAGAAGCTGCAGCTGCAGTGTGTTAGCAGCCATAGATGCGGCAGGAGTGGCTGACCTCAGCACCACACCACCAACACCCTTTAGTCATGGACCCAGAAATTCAAACTTGTAAAAATTTCATGATGGTCAGCCATTACTCCTCTTCCTCTTCTCTCTTAGTCTCCCTACTCTGCCAGGCCATATGATAAACTAGTTAACATGTCTCAAAAAAAATTTTTTTTCATGTCAGGAAAATTTTTTCCCACTATTTAAATATGACAGTCATTTTTTTAAAAAAAGTCAAATATAGTTGGCTCGAAGGCTATACTCCGCTAATGCCTGCTGTAGAGTAGGAGTCAGGGAGCATTTTAAAAGTGGGGTAAGGGCTGGAGAGATGGCTCAGAGGTTAAGAGCACTGACTGCTCTTCCAGAGGTCCTGAGTTCAATTCCCAGCAACCACATGGTGGCTTACAACCATCGTTATGAGATCTGGTGCCCTCTTCTGGTGTGCAGATACACATGGAAGCAGAATGTTGTATACAAAATAAATAAAATCTTAAAAAAAAAAAAAACAAGTGGGGTAAGCTCATGTGTTACCTTTTTTTTTTTTCTAAAATTTAAGACGTGAGATTACCAGATCTAGTGTCAAAGCACAGGTCCTGTACTTACCCTTTCCTTAGACCTCACAGAGACCAGCGAGCTCCCAAACCTTGAACTTGCCTGTAAAACACACACCACGGTTGTTCAGCAGTTGCCTTAAGTACAAGGAGCTGGGGGGTTGGGGTGGTCAGACCTTGGCAGGGGATGGGGAGGTACTTACCTCAGGAGAAATTAGTACATACTGTGCCTGGGAGAAAAAAAGAGCAGGGAGAAGACTATTAGTGTAATTACGTGATTACTGTTCATAAAGAGCTTTGAACCGGCATGTCTGCTTCATGTTCACAAGTGTTTCCAGACTCTCCTTACAAATATGCATGCTCCTTATCTATAGGAGCTTAGATCCTAACACATAATCCGTTGTATGAAATCATTTACTTGGGAATGTTTGCCCTGTGGATTAGGATCAAGTCAGCCCAAGTGACTAATGATGACCACTTCAGGAAGGTCAGTTAAGTGGGTTTATTCCAAGATAAAACAGTTGGCAGATATTTACACCCATATTCTGACGGTTCTATACAGTATACTGATGACTTTATTCGTGAGACTAGCTTCCTACTGTAGAATTTCCACTTGCGATGTGTCAGCTCTCAGGAAGTCTAAGTTTTTGCAGCATCTCAGACTTCAGACAGCATGCTCAACACCCATACTGTTTGATTAAAATTCAGCACTTAGGAGGAGGTAAGGGTAGGGAAATCGGGAGTTTGAGAAACAGGTCTTAGCTCGGGTCCCAGGCTGCCATTTGCAGTGTGACTTGAACAGAAAGAAGCCCTCTGTCCTTTGGTCTCTTTGTCATTAGCATCCAAGTAGCTTTATAGCTTTGAGGTGGATTCAGCTATACGGACTGCTTGTTGTGTGCACACAGTGAGACACAGTACTGCTAGCCTATAATCCCTGCACTAGTGAAGCAAAGGCAGGGGACTACCACAAGTTCCAGGCCAAATAGGTCTACATAGCAAGACCCTGCTATTTAGGTTCACCTCCGACCTCCACAACAGTAGCATTTCAAAGTGTAGAAAATACTAGAAGAATATATACTCCCACTAATGGGAAAGCTGTAGAGTAGAAGTCTTAAGTGGGTTAATTTTAATGCTCTTCTTTGCATTTTTGTATTTTCTACATTTTTCACACTAAACTTTCATTTTGCAATTTAAGAAATATTTTTTTGCCCTGAGGCTTTACTTCTTTTTTTCTTCCATTCATTTATTTAGTTCATAAATAAAGTCTTGCACAATTATGATACAGAATACAGTATGTTCACAATGGCATGGCTAAATTAAACCAATTAACATGTTACATCACACATATTCATCATTTTTGTTTTGAGAACACTTAAAGTATACTATCTTTTAAAATATAGCATATTATCAACCATATTTATCATGCTCTCAGTAGACCTCAAGACTTCACAGTCCATGCCTCTTGTCCAACTGCAGTTTTATATCCTTAAACCAATCATTTCCCCATTGTTAAAAGACCCACATTGAAGCCTAATAGCCACAATTCTGCTCTCTGTTCCCATAAGTTCATCATTTCTAAGAAATATTTTTTTGTTTATTTTTGAGACAGGGTCTCACTTTGTATCCCTGATAGGGAACTCACTATGTAAACTAGGCTGGCCTCAACTGCCTTTACCTCCTGAGTGCTGGGATCAAAGGCATGTGCCACCACACCTTAATTTTCAAATTTAAGAAAAATAAAATAACCAAGCTAAATGCTTGGAAAGATAAGGAAAGCCATCAGAGAAAGGAGTAACACAAGCAATAAACGAGAAACAAAAGGTTGCAGGTTTTAGTGTTAATTTCATTGACCAGAATCTGCTTTTAGTCCTGTGCCCTGGGCACCTACTCAGGCCATGACCAGCTGTGAACAAGGACCAAGTCCGACTAGACTCCAGCTCCAAAGGCAACCAGCCACGCTGTAAGCACATGGGCAGCTAGGTAGCACACGCCTGGCAGATGACAAAGCACGGGACCTCCAGCCATTTCTGAGCTCCCTCATCATGGAAATCCATAGACCACCTTTACCTTCTCCTCTGGACATGGAGTCATCCAGGATTTGCATTTGCCTGTCATGTCCCCAAGGGTGGTATGCTTGCCATTATAAATGTAAACTCGTCCATCTTCTCCCCCTAGAAGTCCAGAAGTAACGTCTGTTATCCTCAGTGGGGCAGCCATGATGATTTCATCTGTTAACCAGAAGTGGACAGAGGCATTAGACTGTTATTAGTCTTCTTCCCTCTCTCTGGATCCCGAGCCTACCTCCCACAAGTAATCAGCATGGCCTTCCATCTGTCATGGCTTTGTCCAGGTCAGTTAAAGGCCTTTGCTTTCCCTTTGCCTTCCACCACAATGGGCCTAGTGACTTTCCCGCTAAGTCTTTAGGAAGTGCAGATTGTTGTTTGTGCATCTAGGTTCAGATCTATCAGAAGCCCTTGAACCCAGGTATGGCACACACATGTCATGCCAGCACTTGGGGGATGAAGGTAGGAGGATCAGTCATCGAAGAAAAGCCTTGACTACATGAGGAGTTGGAAGCAAACCTGGACTATGTGAGACTTTGTATTTAAAAAACAAAAACCATGCCCCTTGGGCCAGTGAACTATCAGAGGGCCAAATCTTGGCTGTCTAACTGGACACAGACAGGTCCACTGGGTATAAATGGAGTGACTTTAGCTAAAGTCACTATTCCCACCTTACCTAAGCCATCATCATCCAGGTCAGTCAGGTGTAGAATGCTACCAAATCTAGAAAAGCGCCTGTCTCCGCTGAAGGTGCTGAGCAAAGCAGGCTGTGTCTTCTCCAGGGCTAGTTCATACATTCGAGTAGCTCCACCCTGGTGCAGGTTCATGGTTAGGAATGCCATTTTAGACACGACATCTGAAATAAGCCACAGGGTCTCCTAGTGTCATAAGAGTGATGATAGGATCCCACCAGTATTCTATTTGCCCCCTCAGGCAGGTGCACTTTGAGTGGAGACCCAGAACGGTGCATGGTTCCTGGGGTGGTTAACTCCAGCAGGTTGGAAGACATGACTAGCAATGCATGGGCACTGAGGTGCATGCAGGCAGCTCAGTGACCCCATCACACAGCACCTGTGATCCACCCACCCCTCAAGTACATTCTTCTCCACCAGACTATCTTGCCATCTTTTCCTACCTTCCTTTTCTCCCCCTCCTTTGAGACAGGCCAGCCTCAAATTCAATATCTAGCTGAGGAAGACCTTGACCTTGACCTCCTGATCATCCTGCCCCTCCCGAGTTCTGGGATTATAGATGTGCATCATATATAATGATATTTTTTTGCTTACTATTGTATTTCTTAGAGCAATTTACCACAGAAGTCTGGGAACTTTTAACTATAACTATCCAATAGAGTCATAAGAAAAGTAAAACAAAGGGCAGGAAAGATGGCTCAGCTGTTAAGAGCACTGGCTGCTCTTCCACAGGACATGGATTCAATTCCCAGCACCCACATGGCAGCTCATAACTGTAATTCCAGTTCCGGGGGATCTGACACCTTCACACCAATGCACATAAAATGAAGTTAAATAAATCATTTTTTAAAAAAGGAAAGAAAATAAAATAAGGTATGTGTACCTGAAGAGTTTGGAAATGGCTTCTTAGAAAAAGGACAGAGAGGCCCCTTTACAGTGCTCTCTGCAGCTTGTTCTCACATTGTCCTGTCCCCAACCATACTGCCAAGCCTTTGCCAAATACACTCTTACTATAATTTAGAAATGATTGTCCAGCACTTTGCAGGGAAGGTCTCAGGAAAGAATGGTTCCTCTCATCTGGGGATCTCCCTGAGGTGCCCATCACATCAGAAAAGTAGCCCATAGTTTTCCCAGCTCTGGTTTCTATGCCTAAGGCTCAGCCCCTCCTCCAGAATAGTGTCAAAGCTCCAGAATAGTGTCAAAGCAACACCAGACTGTTTGCCTCAGAGGATAGTGGCAGGTGCAAATGAGAAAATGTAATATATGTAAGAATAAACATATTTTTGAAGAATATTTGACAAAGAGCATGGTCATGAAAAGATATAGATGTATTTTTAAATTAAGAATGAAAATTATGTAAGGAAGCTGCTGGTGGATCTTCTATCCTATCCCTTAGTCCCCATAATTTCAAGTGGCCATTATTAAAGAACTTGGTTACCCTAGAACTAAAAATAAAGGAATAAAAATAATTTTAAAATTTTAAATAAAAGTTAAGCTTTTTAAATACTTACTCTGTATGTGTGTCTCATGTGCATAGGTGAGTGCCCACAGGAGCCAGAAGGTGGCAGATGTGAGTCACATGGGATGGGTGCTGGGAACCAGAAGAGCACCCAGCACTCTTAACCACTGAGTCATCTGTCTACCTCATGAGTTTTGTGTGTATTTGTTGAGGCAGGATACTCTCAAACTCACTATGTAGCAGAGGCTTGCCTTGAACTCCTGACCTCCAACCTCTTATTTGGCCTGCAGGAATGGGAACCAGCAGAGTCAATTCCAACTTTTTTGGTGAGCCTGGTCTAAATGGTGTCTCAATAACAAAAACAGAAACAAAACAGAAAAACTCTTCTCTAGGTCTGGGGTCAGTAGTGTGGTAGCTTTAGACACACTTTCATACATCATTTTCTTTCTTTCTTTTTTTTTTTTTTTTTTTTTTTTTTTTTTTTTTTTTTTTTTTTTTTTTTTTTTTTTTTTT